GTGCGGAGTTTGCTTGTTCTCCCCATGCTCATGTGGGTTTTCCCCAGGTTCTCCGGTTTCCTCCTACAGTCCAAAAAACATGCATCTATTTAAATTGAAGATACTAAATAGCATCAATTGACGTCAAGACTTTTGCAAGCCGTATATTTATCCTTAGCCATCCCTATATCTTTCAGAAGGTAGCTGCTTACGGGGCATGCCAAACAAGCTTATTACCAATCCCTAGCTAAGTGTGAACTCTTTGGGCGAACTATCTCTTTAAGTCTTTTGAGTATGTCAAGCTACTGTGATCTACTCAATGTAATGTTTTTCAGTTTATATTAAATTACTGAAAGAGCTGAAGTTTATTTTATATTTTTTATAGGATTTATATGTTTAAAAGTAACGACAAAGTTAAGTAATTAGTAATCTGACTACTTTTTACATAAAGTAATTAGCAATGTAATCGAATTACGATGTCCATTAGTAGTCAGTAATTTGTAATCTAATACTTGTTTTAAAGCAACTTACCCAACACTGCTTATAATAGAGGATTATTGATTTATATAGTCATTTGATTAAATTGCATTCAAGTAAAAATGCTTAAAAATTGTTTATTTATTTTATTAAATTGCACTAAAATTTAACAATTTGTTGATTTATCAAATTAGCTCGCAATTGAAATCACAGTTTATTTATTTACTAATTTATAGTTTGTTTCATTAAATTACATGCAAGTCAAATCAAAATAATATATTTCCTAAAAAATTGCACCTGAAGTTGCTCACAATACTTATCCATTCACAGAATTTGTAATGTAGTCAAATGCGGTTCACGCATCTGCCTTTTAATGTCTCTGGGACAAAAGCAGCTGCATGAATGCTAAAGCTTCAGTCAAAAGTGAAATCATCAACAAAAGCCTGACCCCTATTATGTTTACAAATAAAACCACAGCAATTTAGAGGTCATTTCTGGTTAATGATGTCAGAATTTACTGGTATTTTGTCATGGATGTGTGAACGGTCATTTCCGGAAAAATTTCGGAACGTCAGTGCCAGTGTGAACAGCACATATTTGTAGTCGTTCCGGTAATCTTCCAGATATTTACCGGTTTCACTGTGTGAAAGGGACTAATGACAGATATTTTACATTCAAACACACTGCAAAGTCTACATATACACAAACAATTGCAAATCGTCACTTCCCTACAGGCACTGTTTACTAACAAAGTGGCTGCCAAACTCTGGCCTGGTATATGTAATACAGCATTTGTGGTCTATTTCTAGAATGGGTAAATGCGGATCATTTTAAAAACGTCATGTAAGCCTGAAAGGGGAAAACCTTTTAGTTTTTGGCAAAATCGTTGTCTTGTAAACATAGCCTAAAATTGTACTGGATAATATAAGGTAACTACATGGTTTAAGGTAAGCGTTAGGTGTATTATAGTATTCATTCGTTTGTTCGTTCATTCATTTTTCTTTAGCTTAGTCCCTTATTTATCATGGTTTGCCACAGCGAAATGAACCACCAACTATTCCTATAGCATATGTTTTACGCAGTGGATGCCCTTTATGCTGCAACCCAGTAATGGGAAACACCCATACACACTTATTCTCTCACACACACACTCCTACACTACAGACAATTTTTAGTTCATCCAGTTCATCTATAGTGCATGTCTTTGAATCAAAATAATATATTTCATAAAAAACTGCACCTAAATTACCTAACTATTCATTTGTATATAACCAGTATATAACTATTTTAACGAAAATACTTAAGTCTCATTACTACATGAATTAAATTACACTCAAGTTGCGTAACTCCTCACTTGCAAAACAGCAAGTAACTTTTCATTGCTTATTGAAACTTATTAGAATCTGTGGCTCAAGCTCTGTAAAATATATGATCAGACACAGAAAAAACCCACAAGATTAGGCCCAAATTAGAGATCTGATCCAGTGACGCTGCTTACTAAGTCTCATTGAGTCATTTAAAGTTTGGCGGTCGGCCATAATGAAAGAAAAATAAAGCTGACACCCTCATTCCAAAGCACAATATAATCTGACTAAAGGGAAGAGCAAATCAATATAGGTTTAATTCCTTACCATGATTGTGTTCTTGGGGGCCTGTGGGTTGTGTGATTACTGCCGATTGAATTGAAGGTGGCAGTTTGATTCCTACCCCACAGTGATCTCTTTAGGTACATGTGGCATTTGTTTACCATACCGAAAACCATTACATCAAGTGAACATGTCCGTGAAATGACCATTTTCAAGTAACAGGGTCATCTTGACAAGGTCATGTGCGTAGAGATCAGAGGTTAGACTTTAAGGTCAAACTGTCATGACCTATTGATTGAGTTGAAGAAATGGGTAGAGCTAAAAAGAGAACGAGCAAAACTCGCATTCATTACTCTTGTTTCCAAATATATGCACCACAGATGAATCAATAGAGTAAATGAATGAGGAACGTTAGTTGCACCACGCACATGGGGAGCCAAATTAAATGCAGAAGGTATAGTTCTGAACAAGCGTTTTTGTGCTTACTGTAGCGGCTGCAGGGGCGGCGGCGTGTGACCGTGTGTTTCTGCAGTGACACGACCAGCCGCGCATAAACGCTGTAGTTCAGTTCTCAGATCCATCAGTATGCTCGAAGCGGCAGGACTGCGGGTTTGTTCAGGCTGTGTTTTCGCAAATCTCAAGTATCACAGTGGTGACACGATTAACCACATTTGGATGTTTAATCAAGACTTTGGCCATGATCAGAGTCAGGTTCATTGTTATTACTTTGAGTTTGTACATGTGGGAGCTTTTAAAAATGGTTAAACATGTGAATGATGTTGAGTTAGTGTAGTCTCTAAGTTTATAGCCCACAATAAACTGGTGGGACACCATTTCGAACAACAAACATTTCAGACGGAATATTCAGAGTAGCGGTAAACAATATAGGGAGCGCGTCACAGGTTGCCATTGTTCAAAAATGAACTGACGTGTATATAAAACCAACTTCACCTCAGTAAAGCTGGCTAGGCGGAATAGAGCGGTTTACCATGTTTTGTTATTAAACTAAATAAAAATCTACATTATCAATGCTGTAAAATGTACTTTAAGGAATTGAAAATAGTCACATCAATCGTTCACCGGAAGATTTCAGTGGCTGAACAACACTTCTGTGCATATAGCCCATTTGTAAAACAACACAATCTACATCAACTTTGTGTGACTAAAATAGATTTAAGACATAACATTACCTGTCTAAAGGAAAAACTTTATCCATGATGTCGTCCTTCCTACAGCGTGCAAAAGTAACTTTAATATTGATTTTTTTTTTAGTTTTTTTTTTTAACTTTGGTTCAGCATTCGTTTTTACTGCTGTCACTCACTCACAAGAGAGCCTTTCTGTGTGAAAGGCCAGCCTGATCTCACGAGAATATAGATAGAGGTAGAACCTTCTATCTAACTGCAATCTATCTAACCTTCTAATTCTGAAAAGTCATTTTCCACTTGGAATTATTAGGTTCTATCTGGCAGATCGTTAATTGAAGCAATACTTATCAAGAAATACAATAAAAAATATTGAATATGGTGTTGTAACAATATGTTGATGCTTGAGAAAGTTACATTCTTGCTTTCTATAACATTTATTTTGTTTGTTTTATGATAAATATTTTGTCTTGTTCAATTTAAGCATACAAGGCTGTGCTAAATATTTTGTCCAGTGCAGATGTTCATTTTATTTAATTAATGGGTTAATATGTATTAAATTGTATGCTTTATATGATTTATTAAATTATATTTATTGAATTGTATGCCAGATGAATTAAATGATTTGCCTTTTTGAGGCCTAATATAAAATTGAAAGAATTAAAAGAAAAAACAGACAACGAGCAAATGAGTTTAATAAACACTGAAAAAATATTTCACTGACTATAGATACAAATAATAATCATTTTTTTCAACAATGTAAAATTTAATATTCCATCTTAATGTCAAAAAATGCTTATAAATCATCACATTTATACACATCTCAATTTTGTGTGGTGCGAAATTATTTACCCGACACTGTTTTTTTTTTTTTATTGTGATTTTGTCTTTCTGGTCTTTCCTGCTATCAATGGAACAGTCCAGGAAAATGTCAAAGAAAGCTGATCCTGATTGGTCCTTGTGTGTGCATTAAAAATGCTGATTGGCTCACAGAAAGAACCTTATAGTTTATAGCTAGAGTTTGACTTTGTAGATAAACTGTTTTTGTTTTTTAAATAAAAAGTCTTAAAATGTGAACAAATGATAAAAAACATCACATCATGTAAATAAGTTGTCATTTATTAAGAATATGTGAATAACTCAATTTTGACAAAAATGTCAGAGAAAAAGAATTATAATTCCAAAGTGACGATATGTACAAATCTTTGTCGGAATTATGGGAGATGTCGGCCTGACAAATTTTAATTGGATGAACATTTTTTAGTCTTATGCCTCACTCAGAATATAAAAATACATATAAACACATTTAGATCATTTACTTTGACCATTACAATTGCAATGTGAAGACACTTTCAACCAGCACAACAAAACATACTTCTGAAAACAATCACATACTGCACCTTTAAGGACTTTTTTACAAGAGCTTGCCGAAGAAAACTTTCCAGAAATGTTTTACTTCAGCAAAAGTATAGGATGTGAACTTCAAAGCAAATGACAAGAAGCACAGTATGTTCTTCAAACCATCTAAGTGCAGAGATAAGCACTTAGGTGGTTTAAATCCAGTCTGATCATTACCATTTTTGTTTTTTTTAAATGGGGGAATCGTCCAAGTTAACACTATTAAAGTATGGAGTGCAACAAAGATTTCTCTTAGGCCCTCTCTTAATAAAATGTCTGATGAGTTTTTTTTTTTCAATTAATTTAAAGGAAACGGTTAAGATGATTATTTACTCCTAAAAAATGTTCTTTGTTGTGAGTATATCAGAGTCTTATTAATATGTTGGTTCTGTGTTAGGAAATGTGTTTGCTACTCACTGCATTGGGTTCAGGCAGCAGGTTGATGTTCAGCTCATCACGCTGAACCTGAGGGGAGGGGCGTGGTGGAGGAAGGGGTGTGCCCTCTACGGGACGAGGGGTGGAGCTTCCCATATTATCAATGGCATTGCCTGTCAGGCAAAGAGATGAAGAGAGTTTCAAACTGGTTTTATTTGAGTTTTACATGGAAATAAGAATTATAAGGTACATTATACGGAGTACAGATAATGATCTAAAATGTAATTCCATGAAATCAGAATTAGAGATCAGGAAAGAAGACACAATGCACCTTTAGTTCATATCCTTTTTTTAAATGAACAAATATATCGATGGTATCCTATGCAAGAGTCTTTAAAGAATTAGTTTGAGTTCATTATATAAATGAATTGATATAATGGTGAAAAACTCATTTAGAGGTTGCTTGGAAGACAGAATGTCCTGTGGAGGATAGGCTGTAAAAGCTGCCAAGGCCGAGATCCCATACCAACCAAATTACTGAAAGAGATGCTACCTGTTGCACCAGAGCCTCTTATTACATTATTGCTAGGCCTCATCCCCAGACCCTTCATGATAATACTTATTAAGCACTTATTAAGCCCCTCATTAAAAACAAATGGCAAAATACAGACCCTATCTTGCTGCTTCTTTAAAACTAATGATATCAGCGAAGAATTATAGTTCTATCATAGTATAGAAAGTGTACTTGTTAAAACTAAATTACTAGTGCTGCATCCGATGAGATTGTTCACAACATACTTGCATCTATTACAAAATCTTTCAGGGATAATCACTATGATTGTTTAAACCTCTGACGTTTGCCATTTTTTTATTATTTTGCTTATTTAAAAATTATCAATCTAAAAAACCATGATACATGAACTCCTACACAGATCTGTCCTCGGCCCTCTCCTAAAAATAAAGTAACCAGTGAGATTACAGCTGTTGTTGTTCTTGTTTTTTATAGCAGTAAAATATGGAATGCCACAAGCATATCTATCTTATCTTATCCCTGTTCTGTTAATAAAGTGTCTAGTTGAATTTCTTTTTTTTTGGACTGTATATTTGTTTTCTTGCCTTTTTACCTGCATTAAATGCTACAAGGATCAGTCTTAGGCCATGTCCTGTTATTTAATAGTATCTGGATGCAGCCTTTATGATGCAAGCTGAGATTGCATCACTCAGCGATGCAATCTCAGAAACAATGCACTCAATGGAACGAGTGACATCACTGTGACGGGTAGGGTTAGGGGTGAGGTTAGTTGAGCCCATTAAAAAGCTTTGGATGCAGCTCAGATTGCACTGCACCAGGTCTGCATCCAGACCCCTCTTTAAAATTTGTCCCATAGCCGGTATCTTTGACAGCAGAACTATAAGGAGTATCACAAGAACCTATTTTCTTCTATTGCGTAGAGAATTGATCATTTACTTATTCATTCTTTCTTTCATTCATTTATTTATTCACACATTCTTTCATTTACTCATTCAATTACTCACGCATTCACCCATTCACTCACTTATTAAATCCATTTTCATTTACCATTTACTTATTCATTCATTCACCCATTCACTCACTTATTTATTCACTCATTATTTCATTCACCTATTCACTCATGCATTCAACTACTCATTCATTTACCCATGTAATCACCTATTCACTCATTAATTAATTCACTCATTCATTCACTAATTTATTCACCTGTTCATTCATTCACTCATTCATTCACCTATTTATTCACTCACCCATTCATTAACTCACTCATTCATTCATTCATTCATTCATTCATTCATTCATTCACCCATTTACTTGTATTAATTCATTTACACATTCTTTCTTTCATTCATTTTCTTCTTTTATTAATTTATTCATTCAGTCATGCATTCAACCTTTCACTCTCATTCCATCATTTATTTACTTATTTATTCACTCACTCATTCCTTCACTTATTTATTTACTCATTTAATCAACCATTTACTCTCATTCGTTATTCACTCATTTACCGATTCACTCATTCATTCTTTCTTTCATTCATTTATTCATTCATTCATGCATTCAACCATTCACTCACTCTTTCATTCACCCATTCACTCATTCATTTACCCTTTCACCCAATCATTCAATCATTCAACCATTCATTCACTCCTTTATTCACTCACTCATTCCTTCACTTATTCTTTCATTCATTCAATCACCCATTCACTCTCATCCATCCATTCACTCATTCATTCTTTCTTTCATTCAGTTATTCAGTCACTCATGCATTCAACCATTCACTCACTCATTTATTCACTTATTCATTCATTCATTTACCTATTCACCCAGTCATTCAATCGTTTAACCATTCATTTAATCATTTATTCACACAATTATTCCTTCATTTATTCATTCACTCATTAAATCACCCATTCACTTTCATTCACTCATTCATTCACTCATTCATTTACCCATTCATTCACTTGTTCATTCTTTTTTCATTCATTCTTTCATTTATTCATTCACTCATGCATTCAACCATACACTCACTCATTCATTCACCAATTCACTCACTTATTTATTTACCTATTCATTCGCCAATTCACTCATTCATTTGCCCATTCACTTATTTGTTCATTCATTCATTCACTCACTCATTGACTCATTCATTCACCCATTCATTCACTCATTTGTTCACTCACTCATTCGTTCACTTATTTATTCGCCCATTCAGTCACCCCTTTACTCTCATTCATTCACTCATTCACACACCTATTCACTCACTCATTCATTCATGTATTTTATTTATTCCTTCATGTTCATGAGAAGGTGCTGTCACAGTATGAGAAACAGATGGCAACTGACCATTTTAAAAAATGTAAGCACAACTTGCTTCTGTAGGAAACAACAAATATGTCAGAAAAGTGCTAAACTAACACTCTCTTTCTCAGACCTCTCAGATATGCAAATTAATTTCCGCTATACTCACGAAGACAAGTGTTGCTGTTGAACATATGCAGGATACGCAGGCAGTCCTGCCACTGGTTCCCGCTGCCTTCGCAATTACACCACTGCGACACCTCTGTACTGCTGTTACTCACGTAGTTTGGTGTCATGATGGTACCTGTGGTGGGAGGGAGGGAGAGAGAGAGAGAAAAAAAAAAGACAGGATGAGAGACAGCCAGAGGAAAAGATCCCATGCCAATTACCCCGAAGCCCATCTGGGAGAATCACCAAGCAGTGTAGCCTATCCACCCCCTTCCGCTTTAATTATGTTGCCTCAGGTTGGTCTGCTAATTCAATCTAAGTGGCACACTGGGTTAAAGCAAACCCACGACATGAAGTTGAACCCAAACCGCTCTGGCCATTCCCGTTACCAATTCTCGTCTCAGTCTACTCGCTCCAGCAGGACGCAGAGCGAAGTGCTCGTCATTAAAAATGTAATATTATTTAAGTACAGACTGTGCAGTGATGTATCGATTTGTGCGCTTTGTGCTCTTCATTAAGCGTGCATCCATTTTTCAAGGTCGTGCGAGGTTGGTTTCTCACCGATGAGCCCAGCGTAGGCCTTGAGGCACACGGCTCCACTATCCCGGAGACAGCCGGAGGGAGAGAGGGAAGACGGCTGACAGTTCTGCTGGAAATCAGCCAGTCTTGACCTGATGGACCAGACAAATTTGAATACAGACACGGATTGGTTAGAACGAAAATGTGTGTTCAATTCTGACAGAGGAAATGTGTAGATATATACACTATCTGACAAATGTCCATGTTTTAAGAACAACAAATAATAAAATGACTTCTAATAGATCATTTATTATCAGAAGTGGCTTATTGAAAGGAAAAGGCCTCTAGATTTAGCTTATTTTACGAAAATAAAATATGGTCATGCCTTGATATTTAGTTATTTATTTAGGACAGTAAGATCTGACTTTGGTTAAACAAAAGTCTTGAGACTTGTCAGAAATAATGTACAGTATAGAATATAAAGTCATGGTGCAGAAGAAAAAGTATTAATAATGTGTATGACTCCAATGAGCTTCATCCATACATCTCTCCAGTGACTCGAATAACTCATTAATGAAGTCATCTGGGATAGCAAAGAAAGCATTCTAGCAGGACTCCCAGTTTTTATCAAGATCCTTTAGATTTAGCTTCAATTTCTCCTCCATTTTACCGCAGACATGCTCAATAATGTTCATATCTGGTGACTGGGCTGGCCAATCCTGGAGCACCTTGACCTTCTTTACTTTCAGGAACTTTGATGTGGAGGCTGAAGTTTGAAAAGGAGCGCTATCCCGCTGAAGAATTTGCCTTTTCCTGGGTTTTGTAACGTAATGGGCAGCACAAATGTCTTGATACCTCAGGCTGTTGATGTTGCCACTCTGCAGATCTCTCGGACGGCACGCCCCATATTGAATGTAACCCCAAACCATGATTTTTCCTTTACCAAACTTGACTGATTTCTGTGAGAATCTTGAGTCCATGCCAGTTCCAGTAGGTCTTCTACAGTATTTGTGATGATTGAGATGCAGCTTAACAGATGATTCATTGGAAAAATCTACCTTGTGCCACTTTTCGACATGATCAACAAGTCAAATTATTATTTGTTGCTCTTACAACTGGGATCAACGACAAGACTTTTGTCCCGAAGTGCATACAGTAAATACGATTTGTTGACCTTATTCTGCAATGTGAATGTGCGCTTGTTTCTCAATTGTTTTTGTACTTCTGATTCAGTTGCCTATGGGAAAAATGACTTGGAGTAATAAACGGCAGAAAATGGCCAAACTAATTACTAATTATTAACACTACAAATTAAAGTGTGTTCATGGCTTAAAAGTAGACTAATATAATAATAAAAGATCAGTTTGAAGCATGAAGTAGCATAATAAGCTGTTTTCAAGTTCACACTTTGATAATGCCCGACTATAATAGCAGGTTTGGCATGCTGTCCCAGGAGAAACCCTGAGCTCTGAGATATATGAGCCACGGTTCCTGCCTGGTCAATGAACATTAGTAGGGATACGAGATTAGGTGTTTCTCGAGAGCCCCCTGGTTAGTTTTTTACCTATACCTTGGTTAACAGGATGGTTCTACAAGAGCCAATTCAGTATGTAAGCATTAAGTGCTTGTGACTGTTATTACAATTCGCTTGTGTCACATGTTTTTAGACTGTGGGAGGAAAACAGGAGTACCCGAGGAAAACCCACGTGGACATGGGGAGAACATGCTAACTCCGCAGAGAGAGTGCCGACTGGCTCAATTATGACTTAAACCATTGGCCCTCCCGCTGCGAGGCGGCCCATATTGCTTGATCCTAGAAATGAGGAGGAGGGAGAAAGGGAAGGATGGGGGAGGGGATTCCAAAATGAAGATAGGAAATGAAGTTTAGGCAGGACATTTATAGCAGTTTTGGAATGCTATAAATGATTAGCAATAAGGACCAGCAGTAGTTGATCATATCACATGCTCCTCTCGAAATTAATTTGTGAAACTTCTCTTTAACGTCTAGAAATCTATGGAAGTGAATGAAACTGGAAGTCTTGAGCCATAAAGACTTTAATGATGGCACTCGCTCATACGTGAAGAATAAGGTCAATTATCTGGCACCATCTTACTTATCAGACCTCCTACATGTATATAATTCTGGTAGGTCACTCAGGTCTTCTGATCAATGTATTCTTATAACACCAAGGTCATGGTGTAAGCGAAGTGGGGATCTGACTTTTGCTGTTAAGGCCCCCAAATCTCTGGAACAAGCTTTCACCCCACATCAGACATGCTCCAGCTCTATCTGAAGAGTTCAGATGCAAAAGCCGCTAAACGTCACTTCCGCTAAAAATGAGCTAATGACATTAAGTGAATGCTTTAGGCACATACTACACCATCAACAAATAGATTTGCTGCAAATCATCCAAATCCCAGCATCAGCGCATTCAGAAATAACAGTTTGTTGGCAAAAGCCGCTCAATGGCACTTGCCTTTGACAGCAAAAGCTGCTATATCCTGAGAACCAATCAGAAGCGTGAATCGAATCATATGTTTTCAATGTAGCAGCGCGCTGATATGCCGGCTTTTATAAGGAGACTGTTTTATTAAGCTTCGATTTCGATTTTTAAAGAAGGAGTTTGATGAATTGGATGAGCCTGTCCGACTGTCAGTGAATGGCAAATGAAAATGTCCATTACCTCAAAACTGTGCATTATAAGAAAAAGAAAACACAATGAGCAGTGGGAAGTGTAACATGCATTCATTACATGTTTTTGTGCAGCGACGCTACTTTGAATGAGTCTGATATACTATACAATAAACGACAACTCCATTTCAGTTAAGATGCCATTATTTTATCCCACGTGGACGCTATGAGGATAAACTAAGTCCTTAAGTATGGTGAGAATGAATGAATGACAGCTTCTAAAATTGTCTGAGAGAGAGGCATCCCCTTTTTGCCCAGTAGGCCTACATTGCATTTTATTTGCTAAGTTAAGCTATTTTTAAAAGATAAATATAATGTATAAAACTATACATTTTTAGCCTACTTCATAATGCCTATACGTCTGATAAGCTTTGTATATTAATAGGCAATGCACATATATGGATGTTTTACAATGTTTTTACACTACATTATTTGAATTTACCAAGCTTAGCTTATGTTTGCAATGTTTGCATTGCTTTACTTACATTAAATCTAAATCCAATTATCAGAAATGCCAATAGTTAAGATTTAATTAATGTCAGTTTTGATGTTAATGATTAATGCACTTACTTTCCAAATTTCATTCATGCATTTCCCTTCTGCTTTTTCCCTGGTTTATCACAGCGGAATGAACCGCCGCTTACTTGACAGATGTATATATTTTAAATTTTAGGTGGTTTGTGTAATGTGTTTTATGTTTGGTAAAATAATTTCTAATGGCATCTTTTTTTTCAACTAATCAGACTGTCTTGTTCCAATGGGTGGATTTAGAGGGTTTTGCAATACAAGGAGATGTGGATTTATCTGGTTTAGACACAAAAGAAAATTCACCTTGCTAAAAATCAAAGAATTGTTTAAAGTGACATTTTAAAAAAAAGATATTTTATTTAATAGCTAATAAACGTATCATTACATATAAAATACAACTTCTGAACTTTATCTGAGGAGCCTGATAGAAAATGCTCTTTTACAAAAAACCAGGTCGGATGGACTTAAAGGGTTTTGAATCTGAACTCTTCATCTGTTTTTAAAAAGCTTCAGAAACTCCATCTTTATTCTTTAACATTTGAGCCTTTTTAATGTTGAGAGGTTTGCCTTATGATTGACCTGTTATGTATGTGAAGTAGGATTTATTTTAATTAGTATTGATTGTGTTCAGCACTTTGGGTAATAATGTGTAACTAACTCACTAACTAACTAACTAACTAACTAACTAACTAACTAACTAACTAACTAACTAACTAACTCTGTAATATACCTAATGAAACTGCTGATCATATTTTTTGGAATTTCCCTCATACACAATGCTTTTAGATTGAACTTTCCCTGGATATTCATTGCAAAATACTACCGGGATTCTTGTTATCTTTTAAGGATATCCTGTTGGGTTTTTTCAATAGTCCTGATGATAAAAGTAAGGAAAATTTCATTATTAATCTCCTTCTAATCCTTGCTGAATTCCATATACAGCGCTGTAAATTCTCTAAGCATATACCTTGTTTTATTGTTTTTGAAAAGGAAATTTAACAGTACATTAGAACTATTGCTTCCTCTTAAAATATAAGAACTGTTAACTTATTTTCTTTTTTAATTTTCTTAATATATAAATTTAGTTTTTTGTTTTTTTCTCTTGTATGTGCTTATTTGATGCTTCTCTGTAAACGTCATGTACACTCTTTGTAACAAATTTGTATGATGTTGTTATTGTTACCCTGACATTAATAAAAAAAGGAAAATAAAACTAACTAACTAACTAACTAACTAATAGAAAATGTGTATTTTCTTTTTTTTTGCAGTGTTTGAATTTTTAAAGGATGCTTAATAATGATCTGAAAAGTGGGATGAGTCACATTATAAACCTCATGAGTATGATGTAATGTTGTAATGAGTGTGATGTAATGATGTCCTCTGATCATTACTGTTTACAGACAGGTTATTTGGGTGATAACCATATTAGGTTAATTGCTTGCATGCTTGTTCATTTTACTGCTAAAGGTCTAGGTTTACGTATTTTTCTGCATTCCACTCTGTATTCATACAGTATATGTTCATGAGTGAGGATGGAGTTCATGGGAGTAGAGTCCTTGCCTTAGGTAGAGGAGTTCAAGAGATTGAAAGACAGATTGGTGTTGCGGCAGAAGGAATGTGGTCAATGTAGAGGTCTGTTGTGGTGAAGAAGAGAGCTGAGCAGAAAGGCAAAGCTCTTTATTTACCAGTCAGTCTAGGTTGCTTATTTCACCCATGGTCATTAGCTTTGGGTTATAATTGAAAGGACGAGATTTTTCTTTACAGGATGGCTGGGTGCACCTTTAGGGTCCGTTCACACAGAATACAGTATGTGTTTTTCCTTTCCAGCAAGCTACTTTTCTATTGTTTTTCAGTGTAAGCACACGTATGATGGACATTTTTGACCAATACGCTAACGTCTTGAGTCTTTTGAAGCATCACACATGTGAGCGC